ACTGCTAAGATAAGCGTGCAGAGAGAACGGAGGTTATATGAGGCGGACCTGGGATAGAGAATAAGATTGTGTCACAGTGGGGAAAATCTGTTCCTTCCAAAATACTGAGCTTCTCCAAGGAGCCGGAGGTTAAAAGCAGTCCTGCAAAATAACTGATGATTCCATCAAATGTACAGAGAACTCAAGGCTGAAATGTCTATTTGGCTTGACAAGTAAAGCAGAGGCACTGAGAGGGAGTGACTAAAATACATTAACTAAAGGCTTAGTGAGGAGGTATAAGAAAACATTCTGATTTTTCAGAAAACCTTCTTCATAATCACAGAAGTGCCTGCAAGGCAGTTACGGGGAATCTTTGTCTGGCTTCTCTCATCAAAACCAACTGCAGGCTGACAAAAAGTAAACCTTTTGGTGAGCCTGCATCATCAGCACACACGAAAAACTGTACTACCTCAAGGAAACGAGTCCACCATCCTCAGAAACATGATGGATATGTTTTTAGTAGCCACTATAGCCAAATGCATGACTTAGATACTATAACCCAGGCATAACAAGGACTTACATGCAATAAAATCACAGAGCAGTAAAAATTCAGCTTTGATCTGGTTTTTTCAACCCACCACTGTTCCACAGGGTATTACTAACATTGAATGTAATGTTTGAAGGCTTTGTAACATGCCAGATTTCTTTACTGTCAGGCATGACATACAGTAATACCCATCTTAAAAGCACCCACAGACATGCAGACGTGTTGTCTGCAGGACATGCAACCAGGGAATCCCAGCAAATGGACTGCAATGCCAAAAAAAAGCACTAAGATGGGATGAGAACAACTGGCTAGGCATCAGCCCTGCAGGAACAAGCCCTGCAGGAACAAGCCCTGCAGGAGAATCAGAAGCTGAAGAGAAACGACCAGCATCATATAATGACAGGAAATGTATCTGGGATGTCTGAACAGGAGCAGGGCAATAAGGCATGGGCAGCTATTCTTCAGCTCTATTCTGCACTGGTGAGGCTCCCGGGCAGTGCATTCTGTAAGGACATGGCTCCATGGAAGAGAGCTCATGGTCTGAATGACCAGAAATCTAGAAAGTATGATGTAGGCTTAGGAAAAGTTTGGAGGAACTGGAGCAATCCCATCTTTAGAGGAACTGGGGTCAGCATTTCTACAGCAGAAGATCAAAGGGATGGAACCGAACACCAAAGACAGCCAGAAAGCAGCAGCTCTGCTGAACAACTGCTGTGAGCAAGATGCAAAATAGCAGGTTTATACAGCAGCAAGGATGTTTCAGGTTAGACCTTGAGAAAAGCTTTCTCATGTATAGGTTGATGAAGCACTGGCAGAGGGTGCTTAAAGATGTGGAAACTTTTAAAGGTGATTAAACAAACTTCTTGCAAGAAGACCACAATTACACATGACCCTGCTTGAGGCCAGGAAGCAAGAGGAGGTGACAGCCCATAGCCCTGTCCAAGCCTACAGAGAGGTGTGTTGCAGCCCTGAGCCTCTCCATAGAAACATGGAGAAGAGCAGAGCTCACCCAACTGACCTAGAACAAATAAAGCACACCTGGGAGATGTCCGGGTACAATGACAAAATTCCGAGGGCACATAAGGAACCTCAAATCCAGAAGCTTACTGAGCTGTTCTTCTATTCCTGTTAGATTTCTCCAGTCCCCCACACCTTCAATACAATTCCAGGAATTTGAAATACGTGTAAAAATATATTCTTAGAGCTATTATCTCCAAACTAGATGTTTAACAGTAAACCCTGCACAGTGCCTTGAAACTCCAAAGTAACTCGTCATCAGCTCCATTGCTTGTGTATTCCGTTTTCCCTCTTACGAGCTTTCCCATCCTGCTCCTACTTTCTTGGTTTCTTTCTTTTTTTTGTCCCTCACTGAAAGAAAAGCGCTGCACTGGTTCATGTCCAAAGGGCAACGAAGCTGGTGAAGGGCCTGGAGCACGAGTCTGATGAGGAGCAGCTGAGGGAACTGGGGTTGTTTAGTCTGGGGAAAAGGAGACTCTGGAGAGACTTTATCACTCTCTACCTACATGAAAGGAGGATGGAGCCAGACGGTGGCTGGTCTCTTCCCAAGAAACAAGTGACAGGACAAGAGGAAATGGCCTCAAGCTGCGCCAGGGGAGGTTTAGACTGGATATTAGGAAAAAATTCTTCACCAAAAGGGTTGTCAATCATAGGAACAGGCTGCCCAGGGCAGTGGTGGAGTCACCATCCCTGGAGGTACTTTTGCAGTTGTGGCACTTAGGGACATGGCTTAGTGGTGAACTTGGTAGTGCTGGGTTAACGGTTGGACTCGATGCCCTTAACGGACTTTTCCAGCCTAAACAATTCTGTGATTCTCTAAACAAAGATGGTTAGATGAAAGCCACAAGCTGAAGTATGAGAGATTTACTTTATCCTCGGTATCAGCAGAGTTAAATACATCAGGGAGGAATGAGGTATATTGATAGCTGAAAGGTTTGTTCATTTGAGTTCACTTCTACAGCAAATTTTCTGCTAGATTCACTTTTGAGAAAGTCAGAATGTAATAAACAGAGTTACTCTCTGTAGGGTTATTGACAAGAAAAAAAGAGTTATAAGTAGTATTGATTTGGGGTGAAACGGTAGAACGTGACAATCAATAGAGCTTAGTCATATATAAAACAGGAGTCACACAAGTCATGACAGGATTATTACAGGAGCCAAATCCTGGTATCAGCTAAGGAAGGGAGGAAGCCATAAATGGGATTCAAAGCATAAGCTGTGGACTGATTTATAGAAAAACAACCCTAAACTATTCATTTTCATTTTTTAATATCTGAGATAGTTTTTAATTCAGCGTTTTGTCACTGCTGTTTTTCTAACGCTTTTGAAACAAATTCTTTCCACCTCCATAGTATTTTCATTAAATGTCATCAAAGCTCTTTTCAAATCTCAGAGAGAAGTGTGATTATCCTTATTTAACAGATAATGAGAAGACAGAGAAAGAGATCGGGGCTACGTTTTCCAAAGCAGTCAGTAATGCCTGGATCTGTCTGGATACGCAAATCCATAAAGCAAGAGCCCTACAGAAACCAAATTTGCAAAGGTCCTGGGAAACCACAACTTTGTTCGATGTCAATGACTGCTACAAGTTCTCAGACTCTGGGTCACAGGCTGGGGATCAAGAAGCTGAGCCTTCACAGCAAGCTGCATAAGCACAGTAAGCTTGCTCCCAGATACAACAGAGACTAAAATAGGAGGGTTCCTAATTTACAGTCCTCTCTTCTAATTACAAAGCTCGTTATTTTTACCACTTGAATGACTCAGGGTGAAAAAAAACACCCCAATGACCCTATATTTTACTACGTGAAAGATCTGTACATTTACTGGTATTTATATAGTGCCTAACTTCCGAGCACAACCACACTGGAATATAATAGCAATAATAACTTCAGAACAGCAATGAATATTTTTCCCTGGTTATTTTACCCCGCACAATCGTTCAGTGCATTGCCTTTTCCTAAATTCTGGACCAAAAAAAATTGAAATAAGAATTCTTGAAAGATCCTAAAATGCCTTACAAATGCAATTGGACACAGAATTAGTTACGCTACCAAGGTGAAAGGCAGCAGTGTTGATAATGATCAACATCACACAAGAATTTATTGCAGGCTGTGATGAAAACCACTACATTCAAGGGAAACATAAACCATATTTTGAAGAACCTCTTGCACTAATCAGCTAAATAAACGCCGACAATCAAACTGCGGGATATACACAGCCTCAGGGAGGAGGGGGCCTTGGAACAGTCTCAGTTTTATGAATGGAACCATAAGAAGGAGGTTAGAGAAGGACAGGAGCTCACACAACTCCAATTGCGAGGAAGGCACAGGACAGGCAGAATGGCATCACCACACTGAAATGCAAGCTGGACAGGAAACCAAGGGTAACGCAGTTGGGGGGGTAAAGAAAAGCCATTGATTTCTAAAGAGAGGTTTGTAGATATTGCAACAGTTTAAAAGCTTGTTTAGCTGGAATCACATTTGCAGTCACAGGATTTCTATTGGAAAATGGCATTATTGTCTCCAGATGGGAAATTAGGAGTGAATCACATCAGGAGGAGGATGGACAAGAAAACCTTTTGAGGTCCTCTTCAGACGAATTTCTGTAAGTCTGTGTTTCAGTGACAGAAAACACATCTGGATCAGAGCTGCTTGGGCTTAGGCGTTCAAGTTAGAAATTTTTGGCATAAGTCTTTGGCATGAGGAGAAGCCCAGGCAATTTTTATATTGGACTCAGTCTGCCATTAGTGATGCGATTCAATCATAAAATGGCTTATTCCCCCAACACAGATATATAATATCATAGCAGAGTAGAAATGTGGAGCTGCTCTCATTACCACAGCTAAGTTCATTTTACAGCAAAGCAGTTTACTTTAAGACTTTTCCAGCAACCCAAGTCTAATTATGGAATCAATTTAAAGCAATTTTGTAATTAAAAGTACCTGCTGAAAATATCTCACAGGCTCAATAATTTAAAAAGATAGCATTAAAAAAAATGTAATTAAAACAGAAAAGCCAAATGAGGTTGGGTCGCTCCTCCACGAGGAGAGTGCTGAAGGACGTTGCATTTTCAGACCCAAATCGCCCGCTTCCTCCCCAAGATCTCTGCTCTCCCTAGCTGCGTGGGGGTACGAGTCAGCTGAGAGATGGCCGTGTGGACCGCGGTGGGGAAAGCTCCTTTTTTGGCCTTTTTCTCTTTAAATTCAAAGAAAATAGGCTGTTTCAAAATCACGCTGTACTTCCATAGAGCACTGCTCCCTAGCAGGCACCGGGGTGAGGCTCCCCTCCTCCCGGCGGTCCCTACGAGGGATGGGGGGATCAGGACGGAGCGGCGCTTCTCTCCCCGCGGAAGGCACCGGGCTGGGGGAGGAAGTTTCCCGGCTCCCCCCCCCTCCCCGGGGTTGTGGAGGTAGAGGAAGGGGAACGGCTCGTCCTGGGGCTCGGGGCTGCTCACTCACCGCCCGCCGCCGGCCCCGGGCCGATGCTCAGCGCCAGCTGCATCCAGAGCGCCGCGGCCAGCGCCCGCCGCCGCGCCGCCGGGAGGGCACCGCCGCCGCTCGCCTGCTTCCCATGACACATCTTCTGCCCGCCAAAGGCATCCGGTTAGCCGCCGCCTGCAACGAGAGAGCCGCTCCGCCTCGCCGGTGCCCGGGGCTCCGCGGGTCGACCCCGGACCGCCTCCCCCCCCGCCCGGCCCCGCTGCCGCTACCTGCCGGGTCCCCCCTCCCAGTCAGCCCCGGCGGGCACCTCCGCGGCTGCTGCCGCTGCCTCCGCCGCTGCGGCTCGGGGCCGGGCTCGCACACACACACACACACACACACACACACACACACACACACACACACACGCACACCGGCACACGCAGCGCGGCTGAGCCCTACCTGCGGGGGGGGGCAGCGCGGAGACGCAGCGCGCACCTGCCCCGGCCGCCGGTCCTTGGCCGCGGGGAGCCCTGCGCTGCGGGACCGCCGGCGCCCAGCGGCAGCGCGGGCAGCCCCGCCGCCGCGCACACGCATGGCAGCCGCGGGCAGGGCTGCGGCGCCCCTCCGCGCATGGAACGGCACGGCAAGGAATGGGTGTCCCGCCGGGTGGGGAGCGGGGCGGGGGTAGGGCTCTCACTGCCCCGTTCCACGGGAGCCCGAACGCTTCCAAGGGCTGAGAAACGTGAAGTTGGTGCTCAAGCCCCTGGTAGTTTCTGGTTGTTTTCGCTTCAAAAAGAGGGTTCGTGGTGGGAAGCTCTGAGGGAGCACCTTTAAGATGCCCCTATGCTTCATCATGTGTTAGGTATGAGGTAAGGTTTTTCCGTGCAGATGCCGGTGCCGCATCAGTCACAGTTTGTGGAATGAGGAGGTGTACGACAGAGCACTCGCCCATCAGCTGCCAGTGGGGAAAGGCTGTATGCCCAGGCCTGCCAGCTGAAGCAATTTGCTGTTAGGAAGCAGCACCCAGCTGGATTTAGACAATCTGTGAAATTCACTGCCACAAATCACTGAATTGGAGACACTGTGGCACAGCTGTGGTATAGCTCTGTGTTTCCTGGTGCCATTCACAGTGCACTGGGTTAGGGCTATCACGCCTTCAACCCCTGCACAGTGCAGGCACAGCAGTAGCAGAGGGTGTCTTCTAGCTGAGGAGGCTGCAGAGATGACGTTCGTGAAGCAGATTAAGGTGTGCAGCAGACTCCTGGACATAGTGGGGGGAAGAATACTGGGGGCAAGACAAGACCTGTTTGTGACAAAACATACCTGAGCTCCACGCAAACCCGTACCCAAACATACATGGGCTCCGAATGGAAATAGCACACTGTGGTGCTTTGAAGTTAATAGTTGATTTTGGTGAAGGTGTATGTACAGCTGGAGCTGCACAGGTCTCAGCTACCTGATGAGCTAAAACTCTGAAGGCTATTCGAGAAGGATTTTACCTCGAATCAGTGCATCATGTATCAGTTCAAAAGCAATATAAGAAGTGTAGTTCTTCATCTCTTTACTCTCTCTTGGAGAAAATGGGCATCTCACAGTGAAACACAGGTTTTCTATTAAAAAGGAGGCGTATTTGGCCAGTTTTCAGCTGAGAGGGTGCTTTATCTCTGTGGTGTCTTTGCTGCTCCTTTTAAACAGGAAAATTTGGAAACTACAGAGCATTTCTGCCCAAGCATCGTTTCTTGACCAGGTGAGCTTTCACCTCCCCAGCCAGCACAGAGAGGGAGTTCAGGTCAATAAGAGCTCTCCTAAACTGAGCAAACACAACACAAGCACAATTGTATGATACAGATGATTCTTCTGAGGCAATAAGATGTTGGCTACTACAAGATAGAGCAATAATGCAGCAATTCCTATTATCTGTAACAAGAGAATCTTTATTTTTACATTACTGGTTTGATAGCTTTAATTTTTGTAATCAAAATAGCAAAAGATAATGTCCCCAGTGAGCTAGTACCATTTCTGTTTCGCACCAATTCAAAGAGCTGGATTAAAAATCTGCCTTCAACATGGAGGCAGGAATGACAGTCTCTTTCCAAGGAGGAAGAGACGAGTGAGCTATCAGTGGTGATAGCTGCTATTTAGCCCTTGTTTCTGCCATTTCTTCTTACCCCCATGTGTTTGTGGCCATGCTTCTGACACCATTCAGCCTAAGGAAGGACCACCAAGTGCTCTGGGCATCTATTGGCCACCCCAAGAGAGCAGGAGCAACGCTGCTTTAGACAGCAGCAGGAAATCAACATTTGCTGGTGCTGGAGGAGTTTGGCAGGCATCCCTGTCAGCCCAGGAAAGACCAAAGCGAGTGAGGAGCACCAAGAGGTGAAGCCTGAGGCAAGCCTGAGCGCAGAGAGGCAGAGGGGAAGGAGGTGCTTTGTTTCCACTTGGACTTCATTTCTGGATGAGGTAGATTGCCTGAAGGGCTACAACAGCTCAGTGACCAAAACTGACATCTGTAATCAATTTTAGTGCATCCTTCTGAGCTGAAGTAGGGCCAGAGCTCTGATCAATGGGCTGGACTTAAAGCTCTGAGCTGCGATTACACAGCACAGACTGTAAAATACAGTAGGATTTGTGCCCTGATGATCCCCCCAGTGTTTTACAGTCAGAGATTTTGCCTCAAACCTGTAGGGACTCACCCAGAATTGCCTCTGCTGGGGATAACCCCTCACCATCACTGGCACAGATGGGCTGGAAACAAGTCAGCCAAATGACCTGGTATCTTTTTTTCTCTGTAAGTCCTCACAGAGCTGCCTCCATCTCCATGCACTGCCATTGCAGCTCTCCTTAGCAGCCACCCCCAGGACAAAGATGGAAAGCACCAGCACTCATCTGTGCCCATCCAAAATGTTCAGTACTGTGTCTTTATATGATTAAGTGCTTAGGTTTTTTAGGGTTTTTTATCCCATTGAGGTATTCCTTCTCCATATTTTACCTGCTCAAAAACAAGATCAGAAGGAATTGTCCTAGAGATGTGGCTGTTGGGTAAGTAAGTTTAGTCCTTTAGCTAGATTCCAGCAAGGGTGAAAAGGATGGAGCTGTGGTTGTAACTGAGGGTAATAAGAGAAGTTATCTGCGGCAATAAAAAAGAGACCAGTACAGGTTAGTGGCAGTTGAATGGGTATAGGGTGGCCAGTCCATTGGGAAAAGAAGAGCTTAAGGCAGAAGTCTGCAATTAATTACTTTAACATATAAAATGGCAATCACTAGCATTGAGATTTGGCTGGCAGAACATCATTCCAGGCTGTAAGTACATATTGCAATACGTTCTCCAGGCCTCCTGGACACAAACCAGCTTCCTTTTTCATTGGCCACAGGGAAGAACTATTTCTTCCCAGCCCACAGGTATCATGTTGTTACACATAATTCTGCATGTAAAGTTAAGAAAAATGATTCAAGCATCATCCAACAAAATGCTAAAGGGAGCTCTGAAGGCCTTGTAAGGCACAAAATTGTTAAGGGCTAAGATTTAACAATGACCTTATTGTGTCCTTATGGCAGATAACAGCCTAAGATATGTGGCATCTCTTGTAATATTAATAGGCTCAAAGTTTCAAGCATTTTCAAATAAACACATGACTACTGATTTTACCCATTTGTTAAACCCCATTATACATCACATAAGACATTCAGCCAGTTTCTTCATACTTGGAGTATGCTGTATCTCTGTTTTAACTTAGAAATACTAATGAGCTGAGATTTCACCAAACTAAGGCATGTATGGGTGACCTGGGGAGGTGTACATTATTAAACCATGTGAGAATACACAGATTCAAAGAAAGGTTTTATCTTCTTAGGTATTAATATGGATGTCTTGCTATTAATATTAGGAGTAAATGAGTTCCTGAATATTTTCTAATCTATTCCCAAGTGTGCCCTGGTCCCTACCTGGAGACACTCCTCTTCGCTGTGACATTGCCTTTGTTTGACTCTGCAAAAGGCTACTCCCGCCCACCTCTCTAGGTAGATTTGTATTAGATACCTTGATTTCATCACATCATTTCATCCCTGTCTAAAAAGGCCAGCTTTCTCACCTACATCAGTCTGAAGAAGGTGGTAGCAGTCCACTCAGTAATTGCAGGAAAGCAATTATTCCAAACAGAAGACTTTACGGTGATTGCTTAGGAGAGAGGCTTGCCTCATAAGTGTGCTTACAAGAACATGTATGCAATTAGGCAGATAATTATTCTGATAAATTCTGAACCACTAACAATTACAATGGCTCAAGAAAAGCAGCCCTAAAATTGTTGAGCCCTGGTTCTGCAGATGCTAAGTGCTGAACTTCCAGCTCCTGCCAGATTCGAATGAGAGCTGAAGGCATTCAGCTTCTCACAAAGTCGGGATTTAAGAAGAGGTTTTCCCTTCCCTAAACATAATCACTCCTTCTGAGTGGGAAGTGGATGGGGGGCACCCTGAAGAAAATGACAGGAACATGAACAGACAATTCTTTTCCTTCACTCAGCTGTTAGTGCTGACAGCCATAAAATCACATCTGGGACCAATACACAAACACTACTAACCAGCCAGCAGTGTGGTTTTACCAATTAGTGCTAATTACGTTTCATTAGAAAAAAGACTGGCAGCATAGGGAAGGTGGAGCTTGAACTACTTTTTTGTTTCCTACTGGCCTACATAACTAGTGAGGAGTTTTAGTTAACAGAAAGCCATACTTCATTTTTATTTACATCAACATAGTGTAGAAGAGATTACAGAGTACAGGCTATCTGGCTAATGGGAGAACTGGACTACATGTACTGGGAGGTCCGTTCTTCAGCTGAACACATGGAGGTTTTTGCACTTTTCTGATTACAGCCAAATTGTACTTGCCGCTACTTCTGTGACCACATTACTATGAGACAGTAATTTCCAGCAGAAGAACGTGAAGTGAAACTATTCCAGGACCTGAAACAATTCAAATAGGTTATGAGTGCTTCTCTTTTCATCCCCCTGTGCAAGAAGAGGCTAGCAAATACAAAATGCAAATGCAGTGTTTGATTTGCAGCAGCATTCCAAGTGTGAGTGGTATTCATCACCCTTCACTGTAAACTCATGATCAATTTTTCTATGCCCACAACACACTTGACACAATTAATTTTACAATGATACCTGAAGTTCTGCATGAGAGGACCCAGTGTCTCATCTCCAGCTCATTCATTACTCAACAAAGGCTTATTTGTGTAAAGGAAGGTGCTCAGCCCCATCCATTTTCCAACTGGGAACATTCCTAAATCATGCCTTCTGGCCCACTTCACCAGTCTGGGAGAGGCAGCCAAGAGCAGAATGAGGAGGCACACATCTGACTGCCACTGCACCTTTGGGATGGGCAGCACAGCCCATTGCACAGGGAACCTCAAAGGGACAGCAAGACTCTAATTCCTTCCTACAGCTGCCTGAACTTACACCTACAAGCACATCCCTTGAACTCAGCTTCCTCAAAGGGAAGGGTACCTGCAGTCAAATCACAGCCTCCAGACCCCAGCTCAGCTGCAGTTTAGAATCATAGAATAGTTAGGGTTGGAAAGGACCTTAAGATCATCAAGTTCCAACCCCCCTGCCATGGGCAGGGACACCTCACTCTAAGCCATGTCACCCAAGGCTTTGTCCAACCTGGCCTTGAACACCGCCAGGGATGGAGCATTCACAACCTCCCTGGGCAACCCATTCCAGTGCCTCACCACCCTAACAGGAAAGAATTTCCTCCTTATATCCAATCTGAAATCCTAACCCAAAGACAC